GCGTGCTGCTCAATAACATTCAATATTTAGTATTTACTTTTACTTACACGTATCTAGGTTGTTGTCTCTATATTGTGTTGTTATCTCGTTTGTTTTCTCCTTTTTTTTCTCAGTGTCTTCTTTTACTGCCCCCGTCCCCTCTGTTTTCTTTCTTTCTTTCTTTCTTTCTTTCTTTCTTTCTAATTGTCTGTCCAATTTGTAATCTCTTAAAATAAAATAAAATAAATAAACAATGATAATATAGATTAATCAAGTGAAACAATTTGGCATTGGCATATTTTCTCCACTTGAAAAAATCAGTCCGTTGCGCATCTTTTCTGGCCTTCAGACAACAATTCTGATGCTAAAGTACCGAACAGGACAGGCAAAAAGAAAAAAAAGTAATGGGAAAGTGTCAGTGTGCAAGTTTAACCATTTAATGATTAACCATTTAATGATCAGCCTAACAGTGAACTACTATATTACATATTTTTAAACTGCAGTTGAATAAAAGCAGAAATATGAAAAATAAGGTTTTACACTTGACTGGGTTGAACATAAACAAACATACTTCAGGAAAAATGATGATATGCGTGAAACGTGTCACTTAAACATGACTCAAGCCTTCACGAAAGAGGAAAAAAACAGGGGGTTTCCCATCACTTGAGCCTTGACTGGAACTCTTTAAATCGTGTCATCTTCTTCTTCTTCTGTCATGCTTCAGTAGTAGAGCCACCATCTGGTTATCTCAATGAACCACTTCCTAATGTTTGCTTTCTGCAGATGAAAGCTTGCTTTTATTTAAAAATGTCAGACTTTCAGACTCCTGTAGCGCCTACCTGAGTACAAAGTATGGACAGGCTGTGTTGAGGGTGCTCCCTGTTGTTAATGAATTATGGGCCCTCAGGAAAGCCGCAGTAGTGTGAATGTCTTGTTGTAATTGGAGGGCTGTTCCCATGTGAAACTCTTGAGGTCACCCCAGGCAAGGTGAGAGTGGCAATCAAGAGTGCCCTTTCTCCTCTCTTTGACGAGGCCAGTCTTCACATTTTGGACCAAGAAGACAAACAGTCAGCTGAGACTGAAGAAGTCACTTATATGAGTGACGAGATGTTTCTCACACTGAAAATGTTACGTTCAGATGAACGTTGAACAGAGGTGGTGGATTATGTCACCAGCTATCAACCATCTGCAGTACAAAGCTGTCTTGGGTTGTCTTACCAGGTGTTTCAACCTCTGCTTTCATTTAGCATCAGGCGACCTAACCTGGTCACACGATGGTTCTCACAGTGGTTTTACGCACACTGGCAATGATCACACCTTTTTTTTTGTTTTATTTGTTTATACTTTGGCTGATGTGATGAAACACATCATTAATAAAAGGTCAGTGATCACCAGCACCACCACCTAGCGCTTTAAATACTTGGACTTTTAGAAGTGACTAATTCTCTTGGATGAGGGGGGAAATATTTTCATGAATCTAGACCAGTCTAGCTCAATTTTTTTCCTACACCCCGTTACGGCCCGGCTCAAAAGACGCAACATAAAAAAGGAGACGAATACCAGAGTGGTAGTGAGAAGAGGTTTTATCTTAAAATGGCATAGCAGGTTGGCTAAAATGGCTAGTGCCACTGAGGCAAAGACTAGTGAGCTTCCAGAAAGCTTGCCTCAGGTATGCTTTTATCAATTAGCACCGGCTGAAAACATTGAGGAGATTAGGGGCTGCAGAGGGACGTAACACACTCAAGACCTTAAAGTCCTGAATTACTGAGAAAAACTGTCTCCCATCTGCCCCGGGGCCTTCTTCATGTATGACATGCCCAAAAAACGTAATCCAGGAGGCTTCCTAGTCACACGTGCAAACCACCTGGTTCTAGGACAGCTCAGTCACCCTTGGGACGAAGATTATTTCTGCTACTTATATTCACAACCTCATTCTTCTGATCATTACCAGAGCTCGTGACTGTAGGTGAGGGTAGAGATGTAGATTGAGCAGTAAATTGAGAGTTTTGCTTTGACACTCTACTCCTTTTATCACAATGACCCATACAGTCCTGCTGCAGCTATCCTCAGTTGTGAATAAGATTAAGGTGTGACCACAATATTTAGGTTTTGGTCAGCTGTGTGTGTACCTCATCGTTTTGACTTTGCTGAACTAATTTTAGCAGCTCTGCTATATCTTTGATCTATCTCACTCAGCCAATCACACGGAGGCTAGAAACAGGAAATGTGAAAAAAATACGGGATGTGGCCCTAACCTTTATAGACCAGGTAAAAGAAAAGGTGAAAGTACTCTAACAAGGCATCTGAAATAACATTTTCCTGACCTTTCTTAGGAGGAAATTACAGTTTGGGCGATATTACCCCGGTGCTATTCAGTCTGAAAACAACAAGTAGTTAACTACTTTACACTGGATAAACCTGTACCCCATGAAATATTTTTATATGCTTTTATTTTACACTAAAGGAATGAGACACTTTCAAGTCACAGGAAGAATTTATGACTTTATGATCCTCTAATCACATACAGTGACTTTGTACTCTGAGCTCCCTAGACAGCATTTGGATAGCTCAAAATTACGCTACCTCTGATACAGTTTATTTACAGGACAGGTGAATCTTCTGTGGACCAGATGTGGCCAACAATTATGAAAAAAGGGTGGAGCTGTGGCTGAGCTGAAGCCTGAATGAGGTCAATCAGGGGCAAATAGAAAACCTGTGTGAGTAACACAGGGTCAAACATTTCTGTTAAAACATTCCTTTTAAAAAAATCTTTGCTAAAGAAATAACAAAAATAAAAAGAGCAGCTGGAGTCAAAGGACCAGATTTTGAACTGGCTCTGACGGTCATGGCAGCTAAGCAGAGGATAAAATATGAGCCCTGTTTTTGCATTATGAGCCTCAGTGTGTGTGTGTGTGTGTGTGTGTGTGTGTGTGTGTGTGTGTGTGTGTG